GCTTTCTTTCCTGCCTGCTCTATTGCTTGCTCTCCACCGCTTGCTTGTTTGCACGGGCTTTGCCGTCGCATGCCGAACGAGACGAGACCCACGGAGCGATCAGAGTTCAGATTACAGGACGAGGCCTGGCGGAATCAAGGGGACGACGGCCGACACGGTGAGTCGCTTCGCTTTAATATTTCGCTGCATGCGCTTCTGCCTTCGCGTTAAACATTTGATAGTCGTGAGGGGAAATCAACAACCCCCCTCTGGTCCTTCGAGTAACAATATCGCAAATCTTGCCTCCGGGGCAAAACTATCCCCGTTCATTGGTCTTTCAAGCCGGATTTCGCGTTAGAAAATTACCGCCGACTTTTCGCTCACGTCGCATTATTCATTAACTTGTTAATTTTCGCACATTCTTGTAATCGCGCATTGCGATAACACGTGGCGCGTGGTAGTCTCTCGCAATATCTTTCGTTCGCAACTCTTAATTCGCGACGAGAATACTCGCGTGAATACTTCTCGCTATCATAACCATGCCATTGTTGTTATCTGCTTTTGTCGTGAATACGCTTAATTGTTCGTTCTTATAGCGAGACGCAATAACGCGCGGCGTGTTAGTAATCTCTAGTCTCGCGCGATATCTCTCGCTCGCAATTCTTAATTCGCGGCGAGAATACTCGCGTGAACTTCTCGCTCGTCGTAACACGTTCCGTCGCTGTTATTCGCATTAACGCGAATTGCAATAACGCGTGGCGTGTTAATAATCTAATTAATTCGCGACGAGAATACTCGCGTGAATCCACGATCTCGCGCGATATCTCTCGCTCGCAATTCTCTCGCTTGTTGTAACACGTTCTATCGTCGTTATTTGTACTAATCGTAAATTGCGCAATTGACGCGGTAATTAGTTATAACCCGTCATTGTTAACATAGAAACCGAAATATTCAGATCTCGAATATTCTCGGGCAGGCCATACGTTTTCGCCGCGCCGTCGACGGCCTTGGCGCTCGGTCGCGGGCCGGCAGCGTATATACACATTTTTTCTACATAAGCTCGCGTTCCATAATAACGCGCTACATTATTTTCGTTGTTGCTGGGTGTGTTTCGGCCAGACTCGAAATACATATTATTCCGATCGTTGGAATTCTCGCAAACATAATTGCCACCGATCGAATATATTGTTCGTCGGCATTGGTTCCCGGTATAGAATATATTATAGCACTCAAGGTAACCTTATTAAAGATTATAATTACAATTATAATTACAATTGCAAAAGAAGTTGTCGGAATTGATGCTCGTGTCGTGTGTATACTGCTCGTGTCGTATACGCTGCTCGTGTCGTAGCTCCGCGCGCAACATGTATTGCTGAAAACTTAATCTGAACAAATACTTGAGTGCATTTCTCGTCGTAACCGGGTACCTGTGCCAAACTACTTGATAATTTTTATTATTGATACAATCAAATACATTATCATTTTGTACATTCCTTGCAATCCTTTTCCTTGATAGCTCTACATTTTGATCCCCCTCTCTTGCGTTCGCGATTCGCTATTCCTGCGATTAACAGAACCGTCATTTTGATTGCGCTATTATATCGTGTTTAAAAAACATTCTATCGTGAATATCGTGCCTTCGCGTAGGAATCCGTACCGAGCCATCTGTTATTTGTCATTTTGGCGAGCGGAACAGTTGTGTTGTTTTTCTGGCATTCCAAAGTCGAGGCTTATTGTTCTCTAGTATTTGTCGACATTTCGTGCTGAGTTGAGTTGTCGTTGTTTCGAGTTCACGTGAACCCCCAAATCCTGCGCGCGTGTTCCACTTGTTTGGTTGATTTAGCGTCGTATTCCGATCGTATACAGCGGATGAGGGAGATCCATGAGCTGTCGATGCTCGCCGTGGACAATGTCGCACAGAGGCCAAATTTCCTAGTTAGATACCCTACCGTAGCTGGACTGGTTAAGGATTTTGAGGCGGCTCACCTCAAAATAATCCAAGACGCCTCAGACGAGGAGTTTACCGCGGAAGACGCAATCCGTAAGGAATTTGATACGATACGCTTCGGAGTAATCGGACGTTATGAGAAGTTTGTGGGCGCCGACCGAGCGCCCGCCGCGGCCGCTCAGGCCCCGGTCCAAACGTCGTCTATCCGACTGCCCAAAATCTCACTTCCGGAATTCTCGGGAGATCTCGCGCTTTGGCCCTCGTTCATCGCGTTGTTCAACGTTTCTATTCACGAGAACCGGAGCATCTCCTCCATGGAGAAGTACCAATATCTGGTAGCCTCATGGAAAGGGGAAGCGCTCAACGTCGTGAAGAACCTCCCCCTCTCCGCCGATAACTACGCGATAGCTTACGACGCCCTGATTTCGCGATATCAGAATAAGCGGATTACCACGTGGATTTAATGCTAAACGCCAAGCCGTTAAAATCGGAGTCAGCCGCCCCTCTCCGCACGCTGTTGGACACATTTACCAAAAATACGCGAGCATTGAACTTGTTAGGGTTCCCCACGGACTCTTGGGACTATTTACTCCTCAAATTCTTGTTAGAAAAACTACCTCGTTTGCTTCGCGAGAAATTCGAATCCGAACACCGGGCAGAGGAGATACCAAAGTACGCGCAACTCACGAAGTTCCTATCGGATCACTGCCGGGTTCTCGCGTCCGTATCGGGCCCCACGAATATGTCGATCAAGTCACAGTCGTCTTCGGCAAAAAAATCCGCATCGGCCTCGTCGCTTGCTACTCAGACCGCCAAGTGTCCGGTGTGCAAAGAACAACATCTCGTGTTTAAGTGCCTTCGATTCTTGAAACTATCCCCTCGGGAAAAGCATTCAACGGCCAAAACCGCGAATTTGTGTCTCAATTGCCTTCGCGCGGGTCATGGCATTAACAACTGCACATCGACGGGGACGTGCCGGTCGTGCCAGGCTAGGCATCATACCCTATTGCACTTCGGACGGAATTCGGATCCAGCGGGCACCCCGGCGGATACCGGAGCCCCCTCCGAATCGGCCGTCAATGAGAGTTCGTCGCCACAAAATAATGAGCCCCTCGTCACCATGACCAGCGTCGCGAAATCGAGTTCGACCGTATTACTGTCAACGGTGCAGGCCGAAGCTCTCGACGTCCACGGGAATCCATTCCCTGTTCGCATTTTTTTAGATAGTGCTAGTCAATTAAACTTTATCTCGGAAAATTGCATGCAAAAGGGTGGTTTCGGACGAACCAAAGGTCGTACGGTAGTTCTAGCGGTTAATGATACTAAGGCAGCTGCTACTCGAGGTAGCACCTCACTCGTGATTCAAGTACAGGGTAATGGCAATACTCGCGTTCCGATAAAGGCTACGATTCTCCCACGCATCTCCGCCCAATTACCTAGTAGTCAAGTCGAACAAAGAGCGTGGAAACACATAGAGGAATTGAAGCTCGCGGATCCGCAGTATCACCGACCGGGCCCCATCGATATCTTAATTGGCGCAGAGATCTTTACGTCATTGCTTCGAGACGGTCGTCGTATAGGGAAGAAGGGCGAACCAGACGCCTTTAATTCCATTTTCGGTTGGGTTCTAGTCGGTTCGGTGTCGACGCAGGCATCTCGGTCTACACACTCGTTCCTGACTTTCGATTCATTAGACGTGTCTCTCAGTCGATTTTGGCAGTTAGACGAGATTCCCACGGCTCCGCCGTATTCACAGGAAGATAGACGTTGCGAGGAATTATTCGCGCAGATCACGCGTCGCGATGTATCTGGTCGATTTGTAGTATCGTATCCTTTCATAAAGAATAAACCTTGTTTCGTTGGCACGCGTCAAGTAGCCGTGAACAGATTTCGCGCACTTGAGCGTGGCTTCAAATCGGATAAAGAATTCAAAATAAATTACAGCAAATTCATGCAGGATTACTTAAATAATGGCTATATGAAATTGATCAAGCAGCCGCTCCCAGTGGACGGACCTGTCTTTTACCTACCCCATCATGGGGTATTCAAGTCGGATAGCACGACTACGAAATTGCGCGTCGTATTTGATGGATCGGCTAAGGATCTGAACGGCGTCTCGCTGAATCAAATGTTGCGATCCGGTCCTAAATTACAATCAGACATAGTTGTGATATTATTGATGTTCCGGCTCGGTCTCGTAGCGCTCACCGCGGATGTCAGACAAATGTTTCTTCAGATATTGGTCGAACTCGGTCAGTGTGACTATCAACGAATAGTGTAGCGTTTCTCAGAAAACGATCCGATCTCGGACTACCTTTTGTTGACTGTCATTTTCGGATTGACATGCTCTCCGTTCATAGCGATTGCTTGCATGTTAAAGTTAGCGGCCGAAGGCAAAACAAGTTACCCATTGGCCGCGGCTGCCTTGGAAGAGAGCGTTTACGTCGACGATGTGGTGGCAAGCGTCGAGTCAGTGGAGAAGGCCCGCGAGCTTCAGCGGCAACTACAAGCCTTGCTTAAAACTGCCGGCTTCGAACTCAGAAAATGGGCCATCCGTCGGTCTTAGCTGATCTGGATCCGGAACTTTGCAGCCAGTCGTTACTATCCTTTGAATCGTCGGAAGACCAGTTTCTTAAGGTTTTTCGTTGGTACCCTCAAACGGACGACTTCGGATTTCAGGTCAACCCGTTGGACAGAAATTGCACCAAACGCACCATTCTCTCTGAATTAGCATCTTTGATCCATTGGGGTTCCTGACCCCGCTTACATTCATGGCCAAACGATTGATCCAGCAACTCTGGATGCTCAAGGTAGAGTGGGACGACAGGCCTCCCTCGGAGACATGTTCTAAATGGGAAAGATACAAATCGGAGCTCTCCGCGTTAGCCTCTATTCGTATACCTCGTACTATCACGGTCGTAAATAACGTGGTCAGGCAAGAAATCCACGGATTTTGTGACGCGAGCGAGCAGGGCTACGGAGCCGTTGTATATATTAGACTCGTCACCGAGAATGGGGTGATAATCCGTGTGCTCATCGCCAAATCAAAGGTGGCCCCACTCAAGGCTATCACATTACCGAGACTCGAACTTTCCGCGGCTGTCTTGCTGTCAGATTTGTTGGAATATGTCGAGAAAATTCTCCGACCTAAAGTTGCCATCGACGACACATACGCCTGTCGGATTCTGAGGTTACCCTCGCGTGGATACGCTCGGCTCCGCACCGTTGGAAGACGTTCGTGCGTAATCGTGTCGCACGCATCCAGTCCAACACAGACATTTCCTGCTGGAAACATGTCGATACCAAATCTAACCCCGCTGATTGTTGCTCAAGGGGCTTGTTTCCCCAGGAACTAGTCGATCACCCGCTGTGGTGGACCGGTCCTGCGTGGCTCGTCGAATTTGAACCCACTCAAGAAACAACATTGGAAGCTAAGGATCTTCCCGAGGAGGAAGAAAATTCTCGCGCCTTTATTTCCACAAATCCTGCTGATGATGTAGATTCCATTACTGTTGTCGATTCGCTTCTCGATCGCTTCTCGTCGTTAGATAAACTCGTCAGAGTGTTCGCGTATTGTCTCCGATTCGTTACCAAAACTAGATCAAATGCGCTCACTCTCGTCGTGGATCAAATCGAATTTCACTCGACCTTGTTATACCTCGTCAAATTTGTACAATCTCGTTGTTTCGCAGAGGATATCAGTAGATTAAGACGCAATCAGAGTTGCTCCAAACCTCTGCGAAAACTCGCCCCCTTCTTGGATGCTCGCGGAGTCCTCAGGGTGGGCGGCAGGCTGACTCATTCCGCCATCTCATACGAGGCTAAACACCCGGCATTGCTGCCTAACCGACATCAACTCACGGAACTTATAGTAGAGCGCACTCACCGCGTACATCTGCATCCGGGACATCGAGCGTTACATTATATCCTGTCACAAAACTTTTGGATCCTGGGGGCCCATCAGGCCATTAAACGCTGTCTATCGCGCTGCTATCGGTGCTTCAGGGCGAATCCACGCCCGATGCAACCGCCCATGGCGGACCTACCATTAGATCGAGTACGTCAGGCTAAGCCCTTTTCGATCACCGGAGTCGACTACGCTGGGCCATTTCTAGTCTACAATCGTCGTTTTCGCGGAACAACCCCGTTCAAGGCCTACGTGTGCCTTTTCGTCTGCTTTGCAACCAAGGCAGTTCACCTAAAGCTCGCCTTTTCTCTATCCACAGAATCGTTCCTGTCAGCCTTGGCGCTTCATCGCTAGACGCGGCCGTTGCTCGCGAATATACAGCGACTGCGGCACCAACTTTGTCGGAGCTCAGCGAGAGCTCGTCGGCTGCATGCAAGCCGCCTCGGAACGGGAGCAAATCCAGTGGGCCTTCAACCCTCTCTCGGCGCCGCATTTCGGTGGCCTTTGGGAAACCGTGGTCAAATCGATGAAGACCCACTTGAAGCGAGTAGTGGGGACACAGATCCTCACCGTGGAGGAGTTCAGTACTATTGTAACCCAAATAGAAGTTATCCTGAACTCCAGACCCCTCTGTCCCACCAGTTCAGATCCCAGCGGTCTCGGGGTGCTCTCCCCGGGGCATTTCCTCACCCGGAGCCTCTCGTGGCGGTTCCATACCCTGACCTGAACCCGGTGCCGATGAACAGACTCGATCGGTGGCAAATGGTGCAACATATGCACCAGCAGTTCTGGAAGAGGTGGCATGACGAATACCTGCACACCCTCCAACAGCGACCGAAGTGGTTGCAATCGGCACC